TCCAGGCGCTGCGGGCTTCGGGGACCGGGCCCCCCCCACGTGGCCTGGGCACCCCAGCCGAAGCCACCAGCCCGCCCCGACCGCGGCCAGGCCCCACTGGACCCCGCGAGCTGACAGAGCACGAATGACCGTGGACGGAGCCGGGCTTACGCCCCAACTGACTTCAGGGACGCGATGCGCCCCAGGTGGACAGGAAGCCGCGATTTTGCCTTCAGTTCCCGGTGAATTCCGAGCCCAGCTCCGGAGCCGGCCTGCGCCCCCTAGTGGACTCGAGCGAGGGTGTCGCAGACACCCGCATTCCATCCCGCACCGAGGGCGGGAGGAGCGCAGAGACCGAGGACTCCAAGGGCTGGGGACTGTGGGGGCCGCTCCCGGAGTTGGAAAGCGGTCCGCGGGGAGGACCCCAACCTGGGACTGCTCAGACGCCCCAAGACTTGACACGGCTCTCCACACTTCTGGAGGTGGGGAGGGCCTCTGGACATGTGGGTGTCTCCTGGTGCCCCTCCTCTCTTCTCTTTCTCTCTTTTTTGGGGGGAGAAACCTCAGAATTTCTATGAGACGCCCCCAGGGAGAGGGTCAGTTGGGCCCCTATACCTCCCCCTGCCACATCTCAGTCCCTGTTGGAATAAAAAAAGAACAAAACCCCAAAACTGGGGAAACGTGTGGTTGATTTTCTGGGGGGTGTGAGGTCAACGGGCGTTTTTAGATCCTGGGAGTCCGCGAGAGCAGCAGGAGATTCACGCACTCGTCACCTTGGGCAGTGCCTGCAAGCATGCAGGTCAGCTCAAGTCCCGGCAGCAGCCCCCTCTCCGTTGACCTTCCTTCTCTCAGGACAGAAGGAGGCTGCGACAGAGACCCTGAGACAGATGGAGTGATGCAGGATCTGGAAGGGTGGAGACACTGGGAGAGAAGACACGGAAAGAATGAAACCAGATGGGACTGGGGGATGGGAGAGCCTGGAGACTGTTACAGCCTGGGGTGGCACCTATAGTGGCGGTATGGTACTGGGCTATAATGAATTGAGATCTTGGGGGTTGTGTGTGTGACCCCTGTGAAGCCACCTTCAAGAGTGACTGATCCTTGAAGTTAAGTCCCTCCCCAGCCCTCAAGGGGGAAACAGAGGCGGGGAGGAAGGGGGCGGAGGGCTGGCTGCGCAAGAAGTGTAGGCTTGCCTTCTGTCCCCGCCTTCCTCGCCACTCGAGGTTTCTGTGGAGAGAGGACGACTGAAGGTCACACAGCCTGAGCCAGATCGAGGCCGAGCAGGAAAGGGAGAGAGATGCAGCGGGGGTGGGGGAGAAACAGACGGATAGGGAAGAGGAAAGATCTTGGAACAGAATGGGTGAGGGCTAGAAAGAGGCGAGAAGAAGGGGGCGGGGGCAGAGGGATTCTTAGAGATTGCAGAAGGGGACAGAGTCGGCCGGGGGTGGGGGAGTGGGAACTCAAATGGAACGGAAGATAAAGGGCACAGGGAATTGGGGTGACAGACAGGAAGTCATAGAAAGCTAAAGGAAGACCGAGGGGGACCCGAACTCTGGAGAGAACACATTAAGAACCCGGAGCTGGTGAGGGCAGAAACTGGGCCCGCCCTTCAGCCTCCACGGGAACTCAGGAGCTGTCCGTTTCAGCACCCTGCTGTCCGCTGGGCAACCCAGCGTCTGCCCAGCCTTCCATGGTCCCCTTGCAGAAGGCCACACCCCAAGAGACCCCCCACCCCGCACGTCCATGTCAGGTTACTTAACGCTGTGTCCTCAGTCTCTACTTGGCCGCTCTGTGTCTCAGACTCTTGCTGTGTTTGCCATTCCAGACCAGCCCCAACATCTTTGTTGTAAGGGACTGATTAATCACCCTACCCTGGGGTTGAAGTGGTTATCATTGAGGATTTTTCTGGCTTCCCCCTTTCTATCCCAATAGCACGAGACTGCTCTTCTCTAGGGTCTATCTTTCTTTCTGAACCCACCAAGTTTCTCCCAGTTTTATCGCCAAGTCTCCATGTTTGGCAAACCTGTCCTCTGTCCAGCACTCTAAGGTTCCCCATGTCCGTCACTCTCAGAGAGCATGTCTGCTACAGTCTTCCTGTTTTGTTTTGTTTTGTTTTTCCTCTTCTGCCTTCGCAGATCTTTTCTTCTGTCTTGTGTCTGTAATTCTCTTTGGCTCTGGGATGGCTCCTATCTGTAGCTCTGATCTCACTCCTTCCACCTCTCCCTGTGAGCTCTGCTGTCCTTCTCCCTCCCTGTGACCTTCCGAAGTCTTCCCTCCCCCCCCTCCCAACTTCTGCAGAGCGCTGGGAGCATGATGCACCAGTCATTAGTCTAGCCAGGCTAGTGTCTGAGAAGGGATTACATGAGGGAGCCTGAACCTGTTTCTGGAGTGGGATGTGGGGTCCTCTGACCCCCAGCCTGGCTAGAAGGAAGGACAAGAACATATCTCCTGGGGTCCCAGACCCCTTCCCCAGCCATCCCTGACTCTCTAACCCTGTCCTCTGTGGATCAGCCACAGACCTCCATATTGAGAAAAGGGAGGGATGAATGGATAAATGTTGGTAGCAGTCCCTTCATCCCGGGGATAAGGAACAGATTTGAGGAAGGGGTGTCTGAGAGAAAGCACCTGAGCTGAAAGATGGGGCTCCTCCTCCTTCTCATCTCCATGGCAACAAGGCTGATCTGCAGGCCCAACCTCCTTTGCTGC